ATTATATGGTGGAAGTGGTCTGCTGTTTCTTCATTAGTTGTTTGGAGGTAAATGTCAACATCTCAATGATGGAAACCGCTAATCTACGCCTTTATGAAGCATTTTATATTAGAAAGTGCAAGCCTACGCTCAATTCCCGGGAAGAATGTAGTGAATTCGCAGACCTTCTATTTTAGTATTTTATTTGTGCAAGATAACTCGACCCAAGAATAATCAGCGTTTAGTTTATAATGGACATAAACGTGTACATTCATTAAAGTTTCAGAACGTTGTTCTTCCGTTTGGGCTCATGGCCAACCTAAATGGATCCTACGAGGGGCGAAGGCATGACGCCACAATGCTCTACGAATCATGCTTACTAAGGAATCTGCAAGAAGTTGCATGGGCCAATGATGGAAGGCCTTTATGTTTGTAAGTCGACCCAGCATACCCTTTAGGCATTCATTTACAAGCTCCATCACCCCACAGATGGTAAGATTCAATGAGCGTATGAGTGAAGTCAGAGTAGCTGTAGAATGGATGTTTGGCTGCATTTCAAATTACTACTAGTTCGTTGAGTTCCAAAAGCAGCCCCAGATTGGCCTTAGCCCTGTTGATAAAATTTACCTAGTTTGTGGCATTCTTCAAAATGCTCACACATGCCCCTATGGGAACATTATTTCAGATCATTTTGGTGTCGAATCACCAAATCTTCTTACCTATTTCTGGTAAAATATACACAAATATTGTATATGATATTTGTAATTATTAATGTTGTTCAAAGATTATCTCCAATATAGAGAACTGCATTTGCATGAACAGATACATTGAGACACTTCTGATAGGTCTTTTCAAGTGGTGGAAAAAGTGGTCATTCTTGTTTACATTGTACTAGAAATCCAATGTGTGAAACAGCTCTAGCTTTCAACACCATTGTGCAACACTGTATTCAAGTAATGTGGAATAAAAATTAGTTAAATATGAGTTGTCATTGTACGCTTTCATTGATGTATTCTAACGATAAAAAAATGCTATAGGGTTCAACAAAAAGCTCTTATGATAACAAAAATTTTTTCTCTGTAACTAGGCTTATTTATGTTTTAACTTTAATGTTCTCAGGGACAGGAAAGAAAAACGGCTTGTGTACCAATCATAGAGTTTACTTGCAAGATGAGCGTGACTCATTAAACCTTAAACAAAAAATCTCCTCAACATTAAATAAACAGCTGTGGTAAGATTGGACTAACTGTAGCTTTAGGTAACCTGGCTAGAAAAAAAATGTATATGTTTCAATTTTCCTTTGAGAATACAACAGTATACAATCCACTTAGAACAACTTTTATTATCAAAATATCCATCATAACTGATTCCTTTTTATTGCTAGCTGTATGATGTTTTGAAATAAGAAAATTAGTAGCCAAACTTCAAGGGCTTATGTAATGATCACGATCAACAAGGCATGGTCACATTTACAGTGATTAGAAATGACAATTTAAATTATTTGGTGAGGGGTAAATCAAAGTACCACTCCTTTAAGGGGGTTATTTCACTCCAGTTTATGACCAACACAAGTCTCAAAAACTAAACAATATTTTCAAAGAGTAAACAATATTGGACATATTTCAGTCAAAAACTACAGATAAGTTCTTGTTATAACAGCACTAACCATAAAGGGAAATCATTTCAAACTTTTTTTAAACAATGCATATGTAAGCACGAGTAATATCAAAGTTTACTCTTTATCCTTTTTCGAAGTAAAAGCTTTAGCTGTTATTGTTGCTGTTGCAAAATGCTTATCATCTGCTGCATTAGCATCATTTGTTTTTGTTCTTCTGCATAAGCTTCGTTTCTTCTTTCCTTTCTCTTTGCTGGAACTCTCTTTCTTGTCTTTGTTCTTCAAGTTGGAGCTCTTTGTACTTCAAATCTCGCTCCGTTTTTCTTTTTTTTTCTAGCCATGCCAGGGTGTCTCCGTCAGTTCTTCGTTTCTTTCTTTCCTTGATCTTGTCATCCTGACACTCGTCAGATTTTGATCTTTTTGAAGTTTGGCCTATTGTTTCCATTGCTCTTTTCCTTATATCAATAGCTAATTCCTTTTCTGCACTGATTTTTTTCTTTAGCACTTTCGGCTTCTGCATCAGCTTTCTTGTCAGATTCTTTACTTAAGATGGTTAACTCTTCCAGTAGTAAATCAAATCGCTTAGTTTTTTCGCCTTACACCTTCTTAAAATGATAGTAAATCTGTCTCTAACACCTCTCGAAGTGACAGAATTAAAGAAATTTTTATGATAATTCGGATTTTTGGTAATAGTTTGCCATATATTGCCTCTTTCTTTGCTTCCAGACTTGAATTGAATAATCCCTTGAGCAGCCATCTCTCTCATGAGTAAAATATCCTTTTGTTCTGTCTAGTGCATCACAATTCTGAAAAAACGTAACGAATCAATACTTATAAGACTTCAAACATTTTGTATAGAATACAAATCAATTAAAATACTTACTTTTTCGGTGTGTTTTCCATCTTTAAAGCAATTTCACATTCCCGACAAGACAGCAAACTGCTCGATTCTATGTCCACAACGCGACGCCAGAACCTTAGGGCGCGGGAATTTAACTTAGTACCAAGCCCATTCACCGAGCTCGACGTCCTAAATGAAGGCCGCGCCTTCATGCCAAATCAGTCTAATATGGACTACTACTTGTTTGACTCCGGAGTCGATTTCCACAAAGGAAGTCTCCAAATATCTGCACGCTGAAATCCTCTGTTCCTGCAGATATTTTTTGCCACATTCACAGCGTTGAAATCGGTTCTAATTTTGTGTTCTGCCATTCTGAGCTATTACTGTTCTTGAACGTTGCATTGGTGCCGCAGAAAATCGCCGCAAAAATCGCTACACGATACGAAATTCCGTGTGGGATCAAGGTTTGCCTACGTTGTACAGCAATTTGTGGGCACAAATTTCCTATCAATCGTGGGTTTATTTGACAATCTACGCATTTTTCTCCCTGAAAATACCTGATCAGATACATCACACATTCTTCGCATCTACTTCAGCGGTAGCGAAATATCAATTCGCTTGATGAGTAATCAAACATATGATACAAAAAAGAAGTAGCTTATGAGCAAAGAAACGCTTCACGACAGTTGACTCGATGTCCGAACGTTCGGTTGACATTACACGTGAAATCTAAAGCCTAAAAGGTGATATGTCAAATAACGTCTCTTTTCAAATCCCGTCGCATCAACGACTAAAGCGTCTTATTCTAAGCAGGTGATTATTCACATGTATTCCATCTGCTTTTCCTTTTAGGATTTAAGGTTAGTAAAAATTTGAAGAGATGAAGTTAAAGCTGCTGAAAATTTTCTGTTCACTCCGGCAGTGGCCAAAAACGGCTTCGTGTTTTGAGATGTGGAAATTTCATGTGGATATAGCACATGCACAAGTGAACCCGCTCTGTAGCTGTCAGTCTTTAATTGCTTTCCTAATAGTCGGCAGGTCAAAATTAGACCTTTGTGGTATAAAATTACCACTTTGTGGTATGGCTTTTCTAGTATTTAGTATATTTGTATTTATTATATTTGTGTCGATTTCGCTTATGTTCGCTTCTTTTCGCTTGAGCTAACGAGAGATCTTGACTTAGTCGCGTAGAGTAGCAATCAATCATGTCTATTAATTTATTTAATTTATTTGATTCATTTTGAACTGATCCTTGATCTGGTGATCCTTGATCCGGTGATCTGGCGATCCTTGATATATTTTTCCCGGGAAGCCAACCGGCTCTTGTTTCTCCAGTGATGACTCCATGCTAACATCCACTGGTCGTAGGTCTCGACAAGATGAGAGGGTTTCGCCATCTGTTTGAAGGAAAAAGAACACAGAGATTAAAGCTCGGTCAAGGGTGTAACATGTCGTTTTCATCTTAGTTTGGCTTACTTTATTTTAGAGTATGAAATTCATGAAAAAAAATTGATTTCGCTCATGAGTAAATTTTAATTGTGTACTGAAAATTCTCAACCGGGTTCAAGAGCTTAGGTTGCAAGTTGTCGATGCCGAGGATGCTGAGACCCATAACATTATCAGAAACCTTTTAGCCCTTTTATTTCTTCCAGATAGCGAATTCCCTGTCCAGTTCAAAGCCTGGACCAAAGGCTAAGCTATTGGGATACAGATGCGGCTTGTAGCTGTTGGAAAATTTAACAAGGATTCAGAGAAATTCCTATCGGCTGCTGCGGACGAAGGTCGACCAGGAGTGGAGAAAGTATATGGGAAGAGAGAAGATGGGAAGGCAGCTGTTGAAATCATGGGCCAAGTTATATGCACCACCACGCTGCAATTATGAAGTTAAAGTTTATCTACACGTCTCGAGAAACGGTTCCTCCAGGAATCAAAAAATTGAAAAGGAGTCAATTGGCCAATGGAAGTTAACAAAGAGGCAAAATAAAAAATGAAAAAAAAAAAATCTAAATCGGATCTTAAAAAAAACAAATAGGAGTCAACTATTTTGGCTTTCACATACTACAAAATTATCTTGACAGTGCAGACTATTTTTGAATAAACAGTTACATCCATAGAATTGAAAAAGTCAAAAACTCTCCTCTAGGTTTCATACAACAGCGAAAATTTCCATAAACCATCCTTCAACATAGGAGTAACATGTTATCCATTCACCACAATGTGGTTATTGACTTGACGTATATGTTAGCCTTAAGTGGAAAAATCTAGCACGGCTTTGAGTAGCGATCCCTACTTTGATCGATAAAAGCATGCGTTTATCAGCACCGTGTGGTATAGAAATAGCTGATCGCTTTGTGTATTACCATAAAACTATGGCTGATTATAATTCTGCACGTTTTTCCGCTCCAGTAGTGGGTTTATCACTGCGACATTACCTGTTAAAGACCACCAGAGTACCGTTTAAACGTCATGATATGCATCTTCAGGGGTAGGGCGGGGAATCGCATTTGACCTGATGAAACTGGTGGGAACCTTCCGATAACTATTTTAAGAAAGGCTAAACAAAAGTACAAATACGGCTTTATTCTGTTAAAACTTCTGATTTAGAGCCTCGGCCTTAGCTGCGTGAACCAACACTGTCTCATAAACTCACGTGTCGTGGCTGTTTTATTCAAGAATGTATCTACTCCAGTGAAGTCATTTCGATATATGTCACGTGATAACCCTAAAATAGAACCATACACCCTGAGGTACAATATGTTTCAAATTATATAATTTCTTAAATTTATTCCACATTTTAAGGCTTTAATATGGAAGAGAACGTATCACTTTAAACTGTTTCCTCTAAATTTATCATTTGCTATGTTGTTAGTGTAGGCGCCGAAAAACGACTACAGCCAATAATTTCACGACGGTTTCGTGTTTACCGAGATTCGCTCTACCGAAATATACCTCTCGTGGATGAAATATATAGATTACAAAAACCTTAAGGAAAAATAAAATTTTACACCAAAATAGAAATAGTGCTTCAGCAATTAGAATAATGTTAGCAATTAGAAATTTACCTAACAATTTCGATCCTAACAGGTATTTAACTGTATGAATTGGCTCTCGTTTTCCACAAAGTGTCTTGGACATCTCTGTAATGATCTGACTGAAATAATTAACGACACCGAGGCAAACAAAAATGCGCAAGCAAAAGATTACTTTGAATTACGGCTGAGGGATTTCCCGAATTTGGCAAGTGCTGTTGACAAACCTTGCTTGAGATCTTACCAATGTGAGTTGGCATCGACAAATTTAAGTTCAAACAGGAACCCAGGTAATTAACACCGTAATCCCTGATTGCTTCATATTACTTAAGCAAAGGGCATCTTGCAAGGTTGAGTATTATCTATGAGGCGACCATGCATGACTACTGTGAAGTATCCACTCGACCATATTGATGCAAAAACTGCATTGACAATTGCCACAAGTGTATGTCTCTTCCATCTTTTTCTCCAAACAGCCATGACAGCAATATTCTGATAGTAAGTCTCGATCGCCAGAGATACGCTGGTGAAAATCCACTCAATCACTAGTAAAATTGACGTTTGGACGGCAAACGACTGAAACAACTTTGCAAAGGGTTGTTCCGATACGTAAATAAATTGATGCAAGTAAAAAACGCTATTTAAAGACACTATAGCAGTTGATTCATACAACATGCTCATGATAGCGGTATCAGCCATTAGTCGCTCACGGCGAGGAGTGCGAAAACTTCCCAAAGGAGCTGATCTTCTTTTCCAAATCACGTGACCAAAATGATCGGTGACAACCATAACGCTTCGTTCCAAGACTTCTGCAACACCATGAATTATTCCTAGAACTGACATGGATTGTAAACTGTTCAATTCCGCTTGTAAAACTCGAAACACGATTGCACAGCCGAAATACACTGGTGCTAGCAAAACATACGAAAATCTAGGAAAGGTAATGTTCCACAACCGTTGGATCGAAATCCTGCAAATCACTTTCAGTAAAACTCCAATAAGAGGAGAGAAGATTGCGATAAGTAGTTTATTATGCTTGGTTTGGCCTTCATAGGCTGGGTAAATAATTTGAAATGAAATAGTTGAAATAATCATGCTGAAACAGGTAGGGAGAATAAGTTGTAGGAACAAAGTGGCTCGTTGTCTACCTGTTCGTCTTTCAGAGAAATGTGCGCTCACAAGATACACCTGACAAAATATACTGGAAATAAACAAAACGCGAAGTGGGACGCTCTGTAACGAAAATGGCTTATTCAGTGAAGCTCTGTCAAAGGCTTGTAAGGTCACACGATACAATGCATCCAACAAATAAAAGAAGAACGAAACCAGAAAGAGTCTTCCTTTTAGCCCCTTCAATTGATACGGCCGTAAAAGAAAAAACATGCTAACAAAGACCCACATGTAGAGAAAGAAGCAAGATATGATACCAGATATTGAAGTAATCCATTGTACTTTTACTGGAATCGTATTTTTGGAGTTGAAAAGACAGTTAAGTTCAGTTCTGTAAATGAGATAAACTAAGAGCATGTAGAGTGAGCCTATGACAGAAGATGCTATCAAGGAAATGAAAGCTCCAATGTACATTGATTTACCAACTGTGCGGAGAGCAGATAGTCTAAGTCGCTTCCATGCCATTGCTCCATCTTCTTCCTGCCTTTCATTTTGTATTTCTTCGTTTTCGTCCAGTGAGCAGGCATCTATAACCCTTACCTTGCAAGTAACATCAGTCTGATAATTCAAGGTTCTGACTTCTCTGTCGCTGTATTCCTGATAAATAAGCTCATCAACTGGGAGATAATTCCACTCCAGACCTGTGCTTTGTAAAGGCTCGTAGCCCGAAGACTCTGCCGTGAATTCAGATTCTTCAGGGTTGAAACGCTCAGACACGCTTTGCGTAAAACTGACAAATATGTGACCAAACACCTCTATCACTGCGCTGCCATTCATGCTCGACGGTGTAGTTATTGACGCAGGGTATGGAACTTTAAGTCGAAAGATCTAGGATGGCCTTTAATATCGATCCCTTCATTGACTGATAGGACGCAGCGCGATTTAGTACCGTGTGATATCGAAACAGCTGAGCACATTGTGAATATTGTGTGTATTACCATGAAAATAGGGATGATTTTTTTTGCATGTTTTAAGCTTGACCTGCGCAAACAATCGCAATAAGTAAGACACCAACCACATCCGAGAAAATTTCCATCATCACAGCCAACTGTCATATACTTCATTAGGTGATATCTGAAAGGAACCCTTCTGTAATTTTATTGCTGCAGAGAGAAAAAAAAAGGACAAAAACATCTTTATTATGTCAAAGACGTCTGATGAAGACCTACAGTTTCATTTGCGTGATCTAACATTGTCTTTATAAGCACACTTATTGTGGCTATTCCATTAAGATTACAGAGAGACTCTAATGAATTAATTTCGGCAATTTAGGCCACGCGATATCCCTAACATAAAAGCACACACACTAAGGTAGAACATGTTCCAAATTGTACCACCTTTCAAATGTATTCCATATGTCTCGTGTTTCGCCCTACACTTCTCTCTTGCGCTAGCCGCTTCCTGCGTGCTTCACAACAGAACAGAGCACAGTCAAGGTTTCTTTATTTGTTAAACATAAAGTCAACCAGACTTGGTAAAGATCTCTGAAAACTCAGTCCTTACTCTTAAGTAAACGGCATTTTACAGGGGTGGCCTTCGTGTCTGAAGCGCTTGTGCATAATTTCTACCAGGTATGCACTTGACCATAATGCCAAGGGCACTGCATTAAAAACTATCGTTTCCATCTTTTCCGCCAAACAGCCACGACGGCCATGTTCTGATAGCGAGTCTCGATTACAAGAGATACGCTGGTGAAAAGCCACTCAATCTTCATTATAATTGACGTTTGGAAAGCAAACGATTGAAGAAACTTTAGAAAGGGTTTACTTGGTAGGTACACAAACTGATATAAGTACATTGTGTCGTAAACAGACATGACACCAATTGATTCATATAACATGCTTATGATGGCAATATCAGCCATAAGTCTCACAGCGAGGAGTGCGAAAACTTCCCCAAGGAGCTGATGTCCTTCTCAAAATAACGTGGCAGTAGTGATCGATAACGACCATTATGCTCCGTTCTAAGACTTCCTAAACTCCGTGAATTATTCCAAGAGTCACCATGGATCGTAAACCGTGTAGAGCCGAAATACAACGGCGCAATTAAAACGTATGATTGTCCGGGATGGGTAACATTCCTCAGTCGCTGAACGGAAATCCTGCTAATGATTTTGAGCACAGCCCCAACAAGTGGAGCGAAGATAGCGGTTAATAATTTACCTTCCTTGTTTTGTTCGTTGTGTGCAGGGTAGATGGAAAAAACCGTGATGAAACCGAGGATATAACACAAACAGCTAGGAAGAATCAATTGTAGGAATAAGGTGGCTCTTTGTCTCCTCGAATGGCCGGCCGAGAAATGGGTGGTTACAAGATATAATTGCCAGCATATATGCAAGAGAAACAAAAGAATAGGCGGCAATTGTGGTAACCCAAATACCTCGGACTTGGATATTTTAAGGCTTGCAGACCAACATGACAAAGAGCATCCAAGCAATACACAACAAACGTGGCCAGAAAGAGTTTTCTTTTTAAACCCATTAACTGATATGGGCGAAATAGGAATAATATACCAACAGGGAACTATATATAAAGAATGGCGAAACAGCGATTTTAGCAGTGCATCTCATCCATTGTAATTGTATTGGTATTGATTCCATGGATCGGAACTGACAGTTGAGTACAGTTTTGTACGAGAGATAAGTGAACAATACGAAAAGTGAGCCTATGGTAGTCGCACTTAGAAATGAAATTAAATCTCCGGTGTACATTGATTTACAAAACGTGCGGAGAACGGATGGTCTGAGTCGCTTCCAAGCCATGTCCTCATCCTCATCTCGCTGATCTTCGTTTTCCTCCAGTGAACACGCGTTCATAACTCTTACAACAAGAGTTCTCGATGGCGGATAAAAGCACCCAGCTGTGTTGCCCCTCTCACTATATTCCTGAAAAATAAACTCATCAAAAGGGCGATAATTCCACTCCTGCGGACCTGTGCTTTCTAGAGGATCGTATCCCAAAGACTCTGCCGTGAATTCAGGATCTTCTGAATCAAACTGTTCTGTCACGCCTCGAGTAAAGCTGATAACGGTGTGGCCAAACACCTCTATCAGTGTACTGCTAATCATTCTGGATAGGTAAGGGATTGTGGGAACACAAACTTTAAACTTAAGTTGAGATGGAAGATTAACTATAATTTTCAATAACATTATCTCTTTTGATCCATGGGAGCTCATATCGAAACAGCTGACCACGCTGTGTACAATTTCGGTATTTAGATGCAGTCTCATCTCTAAAGTTTCCTGAAATTACCATGTATTTCAAAGAGTTATCGCGACAGAATTTTCATTTTCTGTAAAGCTACCTAACAAGCTTAAAACAAATAATGTATCTGTCACGTGCAACGACACGTGACGATATGGACTAACGTTTTTACGTCAGGGCAAAAGTGTTTAAATAGAACATGAGGCCAGTAAGAACCTCGTGACAAACTTGGCTTTAATTAAGTTGAGTTGAAGAAACTCCTATTATCATTACCAATCATCATACTTCATTTGATGATATCAACATGTAACCAATCGTCTCCATCGCCAGATAAAAACCACTAAAGCGCAATTTAAGAGTCACGTGCGACACATTTGGGTCGGCGTCGTTCCTTTGTCATCCTTTGTAAAAAAAGAAAAAAAAATCCAATCATCAAATTTAACTTTACATTGTGCGCAGTAAGAAAAGGAGCTTTTAAGTAAACACGAGTTGTTAGTTCCACGCGAGGGTTTAATCGTGAGAAATACTTGCACGCGATTGACGCCGACATTACCGCGTGTCGCTGTCTGGATAACATTCGTATTATGACAAGAAAGGTCAGCTTTTTTACTCTCTCCATGCAATTGGACGCTGAAAAGTGCCAAAAGATAAATTACGGAAAATTCATTCGCAACACCTTGGCCTCGATTGTACTTTGGCGTAAACTGAGATCTTCTCTTACTGATAATAATTGTTAGGAAGATCTCAGATCCGCCTCAGCCTAATTTGCATAAATTTTTTCGGAGGGCAAAGCTCGTCATGGGACGGGCAGTGAGTACCATCTTCATTTAAATCATCATTGTGCATGAGCTTACACATATCGCAATTCTTATCCTCGCTGTGTGCGAGAGTTTTTCATCATAGCCCTGAGGACACGAGTTACTTATAGCTTGGCGGTAGAGCGTCCGAAATACTTATCGGAAGGTCGAAGGTTCAATTTTAATTGGTAACACTTGGAGTTTTTCTTTCTATCCGAGTATGCCTGAACATTTTCCTTCACTTAAACCACCAGGCTTAGAATTAACCATCTTCATTTAATCATCATTGCGCATAAGCATCATATGGGCATTCCTACTCTTGCATTATGCAGGACGTTCCCCCACCCCAAGTTGGTTAAACTGCCTACCTTATCCCTCTCACATTTAATGTTCATTTCCAGGAAAGGAAGGGTGTTGTCCGCGGCAGTTTCCATGGTGAATTTTTAGGAGGGATATTTTGAGCTCAAAGCATCAAGAAATGAGGAAACCGCTTGAGGGCTAGGTATGATTGTAAATGTATTGTCAACATAATGTTTGTAAAAGCTAGGTGTTTGGCTCCTACGTGGAGCACATAAACGTGTTCGCTAGTAAAGGTCTTAGGCCACGCCGTCAGTCTGTTCATAGAGCTCGCCGTCAAATTGGGACAGTTGTTCTTTAATTGCTACTTAATTACTTAATTAAATTACTTAATTTAATTCGCTGTTTTTCTCCAAAGCCGAGCGTCTTGTTAAACCAGTATTTTTGTAAAGAAAGCCCATACGTCCTCATTCCACATAAGCATCTTTTAGAGACAATAAAGGACTTATTATATGGCAAAACGATTCCGCTTTATCAAGGATGAAGAATGACTTTCTTATTTCGAGAGCCGCGAAAGAAAGCCAACTGTGGTTTGTTACACAATAAACCCACGAGAGTTGTTTATGTTCTCTTTGTTTTGACCGTCTTCTGCAGCTTTTTGGAACTGAATCGCCGACATTGCCCCAGAATTACGAGCTTTGTAAGTCCGCTCCACGGAATGTTTTCTTGCGCGGGATCAAAGCAGGCAATCCCTAGTTGACTAAGCTGGGCCCATTTTGCCCGCTCGGGTAGCCAATCAGAACACAGAATTCGCTTCATACTGCTATACAATAAATGGCTTACAGCTATATAATAAATGATCGTTATTGTTTATCGCAATTGCATTTAAATGTCAGAGGCCTAACTCGTAATTTTGATTGCTTTAAAAAATTTCCCAAAGAATCTAGAGTTGGGGTTTTCTTTTATTAGTATAGGTGAGACCTGGCTTAGAGATTTAGACCATCGTGCTGATATTCCAGATTTTAAATTTTATCCACACACTCCGTAAAGATAGGGCAGTGGTGGTGTAGGGATATCCCTTGGTCTTTATCTAGCCGGCAACCTCGAAAATAACCGTCGATCTGACTTGAATTTCGCTCATGATGAATGTGCAGAATCATTGTTTTTGGAAGTCATCAGGCCGACAGTGAAAAACATAGTTGATGATAGAAATAAGAGAGATGGTGAGTTTTGAGCTCGGTAAAGGAATAAAGAAAGATGTTTTTCGTCTTATCACGAGTGTGGGACAAAGAAAAAAATTCTGAGTCCCCATGAGGAATCGAACCTCAGACCTTCGGATTCCGCGCTCTGAAGCTCTACCACTGAGCCACAGAGACTCCACGGTGAGCGAGGTCTATTACAAAGTTCATGTGACACGCGTCCTGCCCACTGCTAGGATCAGCAATGTCGATAGCGTAATGTTTGTAGATAGAAATAAGAGAGATGGTAAGTTTTGAGCTCGGTAAGGAAATAAAGAAAGATGTTTTTCGTCTTGTCACGAGCGTTGATAGTCTTATAAACAGGCCTTCCGATCAAAATTTGCATGATTTTAGCAGAAGACCAGATCCTCTGCTTACAAGTATGGCTGGAATCTGGATTTAATGAACCACTATTGTCATTAAACTTCTGAGGAGTTTTCAGATGTGATTCATTCTAGATTTTTTCCTTTGATCACTCGGCAAACTATTACGGCGATGCTCACATCATAGATAATATTTTCACTAATGATTTGAACGACCCCTCGGTGAGTAGGCTAGTTCCTCCTGATAAAACTGACCATCATCCAATTTTTTCCTTTACTTCTCGATCTAAGGGAAAACAAAAATAAAACTGCTTGGGTATCTCTTCGTGATAAAAGCGTGAAAAATATCTCCGAGTTTAAAGAAATGCGTGGGGCGTCAATTAGGATGACTTCTTTGAATACAATGAGACCCAGATTGCGTTCATCAATGTATCCTAGATAAATATTCTACCGTTTACAAGAAATGCCTCCCTCTCAAAAATAGGTTACAGGTCAGCGACAGAGGAAAAACATGCAAATATCTTAACGTTAAGACAAATTAATGAGCGAAAACTAAGTAGACTTTATGTCGCGGGTGTTGAGCTTCCATCACGAAGACGACACTAGGCGCGCTCGGAATTCGTAATCGGAAATCGACCCGAGATGGCTTGTTTAAGATGGATTTCGAAGTAGTTCCTCAGGAGAAAGCAGGGAACAAACTACTGAGTCGTTCATTGTGCAAGCGCATTCGCGAGAGCTCTGGGAACTAATAAAGGGGGTAAGTTTTTAAAGTAACTGTGGCACTGCGTCGTTGAGCGTTCGCCCTTTGTCAGCGAAGCTCTGGGAACCAGCCTCGTTTCCAGGGGTTTCTCTTGGATGGCGCTGACGCGTGCGCATTACTAGCTTAAATGTTCGTTTGTAGAAAGCGTGACTTCGAAGCGGAAAGAACTACTGTAGAAGACTTCAAAAATGGCGAGTCCAAAGGACAACGACGAAAGACTGAAAAAACTCTTTGTCGGTGGGTTAAAGAGAGATACCGAAGATGACACTTTAAAGTCATTCTTTGAACAGTACGGGGCTATGACAGACTGTGTTGTGATCCGAAGCCAGAGTAAAGAGTCCAGAGGATTTGGTTATGTTACCTTCGAAGACGAGGAGAGTGTCCTTAAAGTGTTAGAAGACAAGAAAGAAAAAGGCCCTCACTCCATTGACGGAAAAGAAGTCGAAGTGAAACGAGCCATTCCTAGAGATGATCAAAGCTCGACGGCTCATCTCAAAACGAAGAAAATTTTCATCGGTGGCCTACCAGACGAGGCAGACGCCGAAAGCATAAAGCAATCTTTGGCTGATCGAGTTCGCGGCATGACACCAACCAACGTGGACTTAATCATGAAAAAAGAGGACGAGACCAAACATCGGGGTTTCTGTTTTGTTGAATTTGAGGACGAGGACATTGTCGATGAACTGTGCTGCATAAAACAGGTCTCTATCAATGGAAAAAGCGTGGAAATCAAGAAAGCTGAGCCTAAGGACAAATCAGGTTCTCAAGGACAAAGAGGACGCGGTGGTCGCGGAGGTGGTCGTGGAAGTTTTGGTGGCCGTGGTCGCGGCGGTGGCGGCGGAATGGGAGGCAATTATCATGGAGCTGGTGGGTATGGTGCATACCCAGGAGGTGGTTATGACGGCTTTGGTGACGGCGGCGGCTATGGTGATGCTAGTTATGGTGGATATGGCAGTTATGGAGGTGATTACTACGGTAACATGGGTGCCTATCCACAAGCACCTTCTAATTATGGCCCTCAGGGAGGTTACAGAAATAACAGATACAAGCCATACTAAAAATAAAGCAGGTGAGACTGTAGCTTTTGTTTGTGTTGGTCCCCTAAATTTCACTTAAGATGTTTCTTCCAAATCAGGTTAGAGAAGTCAGGTTTAATGAACAATCTATCAAAATTTATTTATTGTCAACTAGTATGACTTCTGGATGTTTTTCTTAAAAATTATTATCATCGTTATGATAGTAACTGTTCATGAAGTTAGATTTGGGCACACCCTAGTGTTACTCACACAAGCCTTTCACTCATTATGGGACTTTATTATGGGACTAGAGGTGTAGTTTTCCTCCTCAATGTTTGTGGCAGTTTCTTAAATTGAAGCTTTTACTCTAGCAAAAGCAAAATTTTTTGAAATCAGGTTCACACCATTTGATGATTTCAACAGAGGGTGAGGTCATCACCATCATATTTGTTTTTTGTCCTTAGAAGACTAAGTTTGATCTGTTTTGATACTTAGGTTTGTCTTAAGTCAACATAACCAGGCATAATTTACACTAAGGCACCCAGGACCTAGGCTACCCAAGAATCAGAGTGTTGCAGTTACAGTTGATCAAGCATATAGATGCAGTCTAAGCTACTTCAGAATTACAGGCATCTTTCATTTGTATTCACAGAGTAGACTATGTTGCATGATTTTAACAAGAAACACTTTTATTGCTATTCTTTCTAAATGATAACAACATCATGCTATTTTTAGAGGTGGATCTTCATCTAAGGTCCTTTAAAGTACAGGTGTAAGTTTAAGCTTCAACTTACTCAAACATCCCTTGATTTAATCTTTGTCCGTAAAATGGAGAAGTTTAAACTTGACAGCACTCTTGCTTTAAAAAAGGACAAGAACAATTTTAGTTTTTTTCTTCTATTGGGAAGTGTTATATGGGATATGTAGTTGTTTTCTGATTTGTATTATGATGTGTACACAAGCATGGCCTTTATTAAAGCTTTGTTGGTTAAGAATAAAGGATTTGTTCATATTTTAAGAGTTGCTTATTCTTGTTCCAAACTAAGAAGTCTTTGAGGTATCCCTGGAGATGTGAATAATAAGTAAACCTCAGAGAAGTGTGCAATTGCAAGCAGATTTTGATATTAATAGTACCCTGTTATTATTTAATGTACTGTAGAACCATGTAAATTGGCTTATTTTTTAAACAAGAAAATAACTGCCTACTTATTATCTATTCTTTAATTGCTCTTTTATTCTTTACTCAGCCTTTTTTTAACTCGTAAATTGCGCACATGCACAAGATTAAGTTGTAGATATGATGTGGAGAATGGTACTCGCTTGCTCAATTGGTCAATTCCTGTAAACTTTTTTTTTGATTTTAGACTTTTGAGTGCATTTGATAGTTTTTTGGTGAGTAATAAACAAACGAAATGGTGACCTTTGTTGCTAAGAATAGTGGTGGGGTGAAAAAGAAGCCAATGATAGTCTTAAAAGAGTTTATTTTTTTCGTTTTAGTTTCAACAAGCGGCGCCAGCCACTGGCAGGCGTGCGAGGATTCACACTGGAATAAAAGAAAAACCTTCATTTTTCATAAAATTGTAATTTACAATCCTTGAACTTGAAAAAAATCCGAAGATTCATTAAAAATATCACTTACTCCGAAGCGCTCGGAGTTTACAGGTGTTCTAAAGGTTTTTTGTTATGGCATGAGATTGGGGACAAAATCGATCATTAAATTTCGTATCATGTGTTTTTCTGTGAGAAGCAACAAAAGGTGCCGGCAACTGATGAAATTACAGGTTAACACAAAAATCAAATAAAACCTAAACAAATAATTTTGGCTGCCGATCTTCAGTAAATTTTTAAAGAACAATTTTCTTTTAAGTTTCAAGACAATTTGAAGATTCAAAATAAATATTACTTACTAAAATGTGAAAGTTATTCACTACAAAATTGATAAATAGGTCTGGAATGAAATTCTATCTTGTTCTTGATTATACGTTGCTTAGCACGTGACCAAAATCTACCCAGGCAGAAATCCAAAATGATGGTGGCAGTCTGGGCTTAGTTATATCACTGAAAACTCGTTCCTGTTTGTCTCATTTGATAAAGAGGGAGTCATTAATGTTTTCAGTAAGAAAGTATTGCCTTGATTTTCCAATATTTACAATGATACACAGTAAGTTTCACTTTCCACCCACATTTACTTCCAACCTTTTCTTTTGAACCAGAAACAAAAATGATATATGTTTAAAACACATCATCCACCATTGTCAAATGTAACAGCATGATCATTTCAATTGTAATGCCTTATACCAACATTACTTTGTTACTTTGCTACATTAGCAAACACTGAACTACTGCTCATACTCTAAATATGACAATCAACCACAAAATTCCCTAAACCAGATAACATTAAACATGATTAAAAAAATCATGTAAGGCATCTGTCAATTCACGAGTTTGCTCACAGAGCACTTTGATTCTTTCACCTGATTGGCTTGACATGTTCATTTTTTCTACTCTTTTTCACATAGGCTCTCAATTTAAAAATATTTGAATATTTCTGAGTTATTACCAGTCATTCAAAAAATTGACAAGACACGTGGGGAAACTCCTAAGGCTCATTTACTGGGTAACACTTGGGTAATTTTTTTTTGGAAAAAAACCTTGTGAGATTAGGATGTTTGATGATGAAGATCTCTTACTGGGCAATTCCAATTTTAGTAGTTGACTTGATCTTGTAGTATTCTCTCATAACTATGTAATTTCAATCCCCATCATCCAAAAATATTGATAAAAGATCAACATTTACTGCACTAAGCCTGAGAAAATTGTCTTCAAATGTGCTGTGAATGGGTTCAATTTGAAAAGAACTTGATAACCTGGCTGTACCCAGAAAACCACATGATGTGTCCAACAAATAGCTACTGCTCTGATTGTTGCAAAAATGGTTATTTGTCTGAATCAAAAATGCCTTTTTAGAAGCTCCAAGTTGTTTAAACAGAGAGAGTGAGATTAAGTTTCTTCACAGGGAAGCAGCCAGACTTAAACCCTTTTCCACCCTCCTAAGCTAAATAGCAACATCGGTTGTTAAGTTTTCAGTACATTGGATAACCTTTTTCATCTACTCTTTGGAATTCTAAAATGTAGTCAGTGTCATTAACTGGTATTTATATCTGCTTGTATTTGAAAAAAACATGCTTGCTATTTTGCAAAGATTGACACTTAGTTTCATGCCTTGCCACATCTCAGCTAGTGGGTGGTTGAGAGTCCAAAGCAGCAGGTGTAGAGGGGACTGAAAAAACCTGATAGCTAGGTTTGCTTGGAGGAGTGCATCTCAGCATGGCTGATTGAAATGCTGGGGGCTTAACATCAAGGCTAGCACTAGCATGCAACCCAGCCACTGGCCTATCCAAGGGTGGGTTGCAAATGGCTCTGTGTCTAAAGCTCAGGGGTGGGAAGGGTAGGTTTTTAACATCAACCATGGGGGAGGTGGTTTTTCCATAAAAGTGGACTTCTTGATAGCGTTATTTTCAGCCTGTTGTTGTCTTGAACTGTGTCCCATGATTCACAGTCGAACTCGTGCATTAGGACAGCTCCATGAGTGGACTAGATCACTATGGCTAGGTAGGCAGTGGGCTGGGGGGAATTCTCAATTTTTGGGTGAGAGCTTGAAAATTGACTTTTGAGTTTGCTGTCTTCTTGGGTATGTTTTGGAAGACTCACTTAGATTTATATATGCTCTTAAATAGCAACAATAATAGTGAGATGGTTTTTGTTAGAGTATATTATTTTTATTTAATTTAAAGTTCAGATGTTCATATTATTGGTATGTTAGATACCTAAAAAATATTCATCTACTAATTGTAAAACTTGCAAAACTTATTGGGATATATTTTGAACTCACTATTAGCACCCTTGAATCATATCCTTATGGACATCTTTAAACCTGTGACTTTGGTTGATGTTGACAGTTGATCATTTTTATTTACCTGTTCCTATCAAGAGGTCAGATCTGGCTTTAGTATGTGAACATTTGAGCAGAGTGGCATATGAGTGACCATGCAACCTATCGTAATGAAATGATTATGAAATTTTCTGTACAGTTTTAATACTTCAAAGTATTCCTCAGCCATTTGTATAAATATTTGCAGTCATTGAAGTTATGGTTGGCATTCATTAATTTATGAGCTAAGATGCTTTTGTTTTTTCAAGCTGTACAATTTCAGATTTCTGTTTTGCCATGAAAATTATTGCTTACATTTTTTGCCCAAACTAAGATTTCAAGATTAATGTTTCCTATTAGCGCTGATACAAATGCTGATGAAGAACAAAGTTATCATTAAAAGACAGATGTGAGCCACAACTGATAAGAGGTATTACCACAGAACATTTTACATGGGAATCATCTTAGGTCATTTTGAGTGGTAAAGATGCCATGGCCACTTCCTCCTTTGTGTAACTTCCAGTCGTTATTGAAAGTAATAGTTAGACACTTTCCCTTCAACATATATCTGCAGATGCTGGTATGTGTTTTATGGTAAATCACACAACAAAACCAAAACCTGATCTAGTTTTTACTTAAGATAATAGAGCTTTGGCAGATGAGCAATTGTGGATTGTTATGAAGATAATAAACAGTTTGCTTTATAAGGGCATGTTTAATTTATTTAAATGTATACATCTCCAATTTGCCTATGTGTTTTGAAATAGACAACTGTAAAGAAATTGCCAATATATATGGAAGTGTATAATTTGTTTTTTTTGTACTTTTATAACCATATGCACACTTTGGACTGAGATTTACTTGATCAATCACCTCTTGAATTGCTGGAGAACTTTCCACAGGGATCTATTCTTCATTATATTTGAGAATAAAAAGTCAATTCAAAAAGTCATATTGAAATAACTATATTCCAGATTTGGAAAAAATAACTGGTGCTGTTTTGTAATGTGAACAAAATTACTGAGTCCAGAATGCTGGAAATGTAGCATTTCTTTGATAAAAGATAACTGGTTTACTAGAAGGACATATTATTGTCCATATGATCTTGTTGGTTGGGCAAACTACCCTTAATTCTAGAAAAAAAAACAAAAAGAAAAACTTAATTTTTTTGTTAGTGTTAACCAGTGATGGTGAAAGTGCCAGTGGTCTTTTTAAAACAAGTCTATTTAATCATAATCTAACTCCAAGTTGATATTTGTCATTTTTTGGAAGTATGGTTAACAACTGTTGGTGAATTTCAAATTTCAATTTCAGTCACGGTAGAATAAAAGGAACATGATATAATACCAGTATTAATATTAGGTTATCTTTTTGAGTTCTTATGCAACAGGCAAACTCTTCGTTGGTTGAGTGCCTAATTGGAAACTGGAGTTCATGATGTCATATCCTGAAGGAACACCAACTAGGGAATGAACATCACTGGTAAGATGATATCAGGTTTTTGTTGAACAATTTTCATTTGATTACTCTACCTCTTTATAATGGAGGTTAACTACTGTTACATAGCAAGTCATGGCACAAACTTGGTTGATCAAAATCCAGCAACATGTTCATAGTCAAGTTTTTTTAGATAATATGAAATTATTCATTGAGTGGTACAGCCACAACTAGTTTGAAAAATTGTAAATCAAGGAAAACATTTGATTTTAACGTAACCAATGACACATTAAACTTTACTATGTTCCTTGGCATGGGTTTACAGATCCTGGTTGGGTTTTACACAGGTGAAATTATTTAAATTAGAAAATTTGTAATTTCTTTGTAAAAGTATACAGTAAATTTTTTTTTGATCAACAGCAGAAATCTGAACCCATTTGTTATTTGCAGATTTAAACATTTCACTTTGATGCTCATGAAAGGATTTCTACTGGATGGAGGTATTAATTTTTCTATATTGACCAATATTGTACAATGGTTGAAATTATTTTCCTCTTGAACAAAGAGTACAACAAGCCAGCCATGTAAAAAATAGGAAATACTATACATCCAATACTCAGAGTGGAAGGCCGTTTGAAGTATGAATTTTTGCTTTCCATTATTTTCCTATGTTGCCACCTTCTACATAGGTTAACTTGTTGTCTCCTAGATTTGATTTTTTTGCCACTATTGCCATAATGTGGGTGACTTTTTACTTTTATCATATGTGCTATCAAAACTTAAGGGTTTTTTTGGTTATCACTCTGATCTTTGTTGGAACTTGCCAATTTAAAAATCGTTTCAAGCGACTCCAGTTTCAATAGCTGGGTCTAGGTTTGGATATATATGTTTTGAAGTTATGCACTGATCAATTCCAAGTTTTGTATCTCCCCCCCCCTAGCAACCCATGGGTTTTGACCATCATCCCGGGGGTAGGGAATTTGAACCTTACCTGGCTGGGGTGGGGAATTTGAACTGGAAGTGTTAAGTGTTTCCTGAAGAATACAAGAGTTATTTTAAGAATACAGAGGTGTTTAAGGTAAATAATTCACTTTTGCCAGCAAATGGCTCAGAAGAGAAGGTCTACAAAGTTTAAGTTTTAAAGCTTTGGCAAAGTACAGAAAGACATGATAACTAATTTAGTCTTTCGCAAAAATATTGGGTGGGGCATTTGAACACAATTTTTCCTCAGGTCTACTTGATGTGTTAAATAGTTGAAGCTTTTTATTTATGTGATGTTCTTAATTTATTGACGGTGCACTATCTTCCCTTTACCTGTAGAAATCTTTGGCACAGACTTGACACAAATAACCAGTGAGATGAGTCTGCAGTGAAGTCTCCAATGAAAATTAGCCGCAGAACCTTGCCACGGTTTTTAAATTAACATTCTGTGTTCTGAAGGACACCATAGGTATGCGGTTATTAACTGCTCGTTCACTGCTAACGGTGTCAAATAAATTGACATTTTTCGAGCCAAAGGTTTTGCTCTTTCAATTTTTTGTCTCATACCAATACGCTTGTCCCTCTTTTCCCACTTGGCTGAGGGGAAACAGAAAGGACTGCTACGTAAGCGAAAAGAGATGGAAGATTGATATGGAAGATAGTTCTTTGAAAACGATTTTGATAATTGTATTCTGAATGAATAGAATCTTTCTTTTCCAAGAAATACTGCTCTATATGTGTTTCCTTCATCTCCTGATTTCGTTGTTAGGATGTAGAAACACCTGACCCTGAGCCTCGATAGGGCCCACATTTACAAGAAAAAGATGAATTAACATCCATATTTTATTGCAACTTTCGTTCGCAAACTTATCTCCTGTTCGCTGAAAAAAATAGGACTCTCTGAAGTTATAGATAGCTTTCCCACTCATGTAGAAGATCACCTAGGCCGTTTGAAATCTCAACTGTATTAGTGAGTCTCTTGAAAAGTGTTTCCTGTAGTCTGCAAACCGGATGTGGAGTCAAACTTCCTCATGGATCGGCGAAAAGGTTCCTACCAGTTTCTATGCTGGGGTTGGGGGTGCCTCTTAATCACATTCTGGTGTGTGTGGTAGGTGTGGTGTGGCCTATTCACATATGCTAAACACGTTTAGTAAGACAATTTTTTATTGAATAAAAATCAGCGAAGGAACACATGTAGTCTAAATTTAACTTAGGGTTTAAATGATCACTCTGATTTTCATTATGATACAAAAATTAGTCCAAGCAACTGCTATCAAGAAAAACAATTTCAAATAATTTTTTAAAAGCAGCTTTAAAACGTGTTTTATAGTTTGGGTGTGAATGGGGTCACTGCTCTTTTTTAGGCTCAGCACCAATATTTGTGACAGGGCCGATGCCGATATTTGATACAAGCGCTTTGTTTTACCCTAGTGACTAACCGCTGACAAGGAGCTTGAGCTCGAGATTATGTAATCACTGGTCAAAGTAGCGTGGGGGGAGGGGTGCAGTAAGAGTGAAATGATCGACCACGGTGAGTTTCGACTAAATTACGACTTAAATCCATTTTTTATTTTTTTTAAAAATAACCTCTGTTAGCGTACAGAGAGTGGTATGTTACTCATACCAATCAGATAGTTTGGGGTATGTATCTCGCATCAGTCAGATCGCCGCATTAAGGTATGTATCTCGCACCAATCAGAGCGTCGTTTTTGCTCTCTGATTTGAGAGGTGTTCAAATTTCAACGAAGTAATGGGGGATTCGGAGAGAGCAGTTCGTAAAATGGAATCAGAATGAGAAATGTTGGCTTTCCTGTGTTTTTAACGCGTATTTTACCGCACTTTATGAGAAATGCGATACTACTAGTCAGATCAAAGATATCGTGTTACCTTTAGTAACTGTGTTACCCGTGCTGTGAAAATGGTGGATAGTTGTTCGAGAGAAAATGGATAAAGGGGTAAGTTTCTAAAGAAACTGTGGTGCTGCGTCGGTGGGA